AATGTCAGTTTGTTCAGGTTTTGACAATAAAAATTAGAAGCTGATTGGCTACTATGCACAGCTGCACCAGTAAAGCCTCCACCCACAGCTAAGTGACGCAGTGACCGATAACCGGACAGATAACTCAGGTTCCGGGTTCAGACAAAGGGGTTGATTTACTAAAATGGGAGATTGGAGAATCTGCTGCTGCCGTGCATAGAAACCAATCAGCTTCCATTTTTTTTTGTGTCAAAGTTTAATTGAACAAGCTGAAGTTAGAAGCTGATTGGCTCCCATGCTCAGCTGCTCCAGATTTTGCACTCTCCGGTTTTAGTAAATCAATCCCAACGCTGGGTACAGACCGATTCCAAGTCCGTGCCAGAATTCTAAAACAGAGACAGGTTTTCAATAACATTTTGCCAGTTTTTGTTACATAATACTGAAAAAGTTAAAGAAGAGAATAAAAAAGGAGTTCACTTACTTTTGCTCTCCGGTGACCCAGAGTTAGATGATAGCGGACTATTGACTGCTGCCAGTGGACTTGGCAGAGCTTTGGAAGAGCCACTCCAGGCTTTGGAAGAGCCACTCCAGGCTTTGGAAGAGCCACTCCAGGCTTTGGAAGGGTCTCAACAATAATGCTGAAAGCTGGCTCCTCCTCTCAATGCACTGCTAGGAGCCAGCTGCTCCTGCCCCTGCCCCCGCCTGATGCTCCAGTGAGTACTGGAGGAGCAGAACCGAGAGCGGTGACCAGGGGTGGACTGACAACTCATGGGGCCCCCGGGCAATAGGAAATCATGGGGCCCCTGTGTTCTCACCCACACTCAAACCACACCCCAAAAAAACTATGAAAGGTACCAGGGGCATCTCATGAGGCCCCTTACTGACCCTGAGCCCTCGGGCAGTGCCCAAGTGGCTAAATGGTCAGTCCGCCCCTGGTGGTGACTGACAGTCACTGCTCTCTGCTCCAAGCAGACTGAGAACTGAGCAATCAGCAGTCAAGTGATCTCTCAGTTCTTGGGCATAGAGCCGGCAGGGACAGCTACCGCATAGAGGTGAGTTTTAATGTTTACTTTTTTATGTAACCCCAAATTTCTCCTTTAACCCCCCTGGCGGTATTCCCGAGTGCAGCTCGGGGTAAAATTTCAGTACCAAGAGCGGTAACCCCCCCGAGCTACACTCGGGCTTACCATGCGGCGTTGCTCAGGGGGTCCCTGCAGCACTTACCTTGTCCTTCGCTCCCGCGATGTGTCCCCTGCAGCGTCCCCGGCATCGGCTTCCGTTTCCGGTCCCTGTGACATCGGGACGTACGGGCGCCGGAATCGGCGGGAAATTTGAAATTTTAAAAAAATATCATTTTTTTAAAAATGATTATTATATAGTAAAACATTGCTGTTTCAATGCATTTCACATACATCTTGTCCCGAGTGCTTTGTCCAGTGCCCTGCCTGCATTTTTGACTGTTCTTTCTGCCTGGAAACTTGAGTTGTCAGTCCACCCCTGGGAGGAACTGATTTCTGTTGCTAAGGAACATCCTGAGCAGGGGCGGACTGACAACTCATGGGGCCCCCGGGCAATAGGGGATCATGGGGCCCCTGTGTCCTTGCCCAAACAAGGTCCTTGCCCGAAAAAGGTACCAGGGGCATCTCATGGGGCCCCCTACTGACCCCGGGCCCTTGGGCAGTGCCCGAGTTTCCAAATGGTCAGTCTGCCCCTGATCCTGAGAGATTCAGGGAAACATGGGCTACATGACTGACTGATGGGACATATTGTGATATTGGGGAGTACCCTGGTTTCCGAGATACCACGTGCTACACGTCTGGACATGCCTTAGGCTATCACTACGGCTTATCCTCTTGAATTTTTAACTCACGTTTTGCCCTGTTGACTGTTTTGATACACAACACGTCTTAACCTCCCTGGCGGTATGATTATTTCAGATTTTTGGTGCTGAAAGCAGTACATTTTTTTAGCATGGAAATATGTCGTTTTTTTATTGTAGGCCTGTAATTTTTAGGAATAACTCACTGAAATCTGTCCGAACAAGAGTCTAGTAAACATCCCGGGGGATAACATTTGAAACACGAAATCATAAATTATAATTTAATAAATAATCATAAAAAATAATAATATAATAATACTACATTTAATTCAATAATATAATCAAACCAAAAACACTGAAATGTGAAATAGAGCGCCAAGTTCGCCCATCGCTGAGCTCAGTCGCAGAATCGTTTTCAGTGTCTGATGAGGAATTTCCCCCACCAATCATTATCACTCAATTCTGCAAGTGGTTCTGATTTCCTATCGCTGTTCTCTAGCCGGTCTAAAACCGCTTTTGACGTAAAGGGACGCTTTTTGGAAGCCATGGACGTTTCTCAGTTTCCAGGCAGAAAGAACAGTAAAAATGCAGGCAGGGCGCCGGACAAAGCACTCGGGACAAAATGTATGTGAAATGGTTTGAAACAGCAATGTTTTACTATGTAAAATTTGTTTAGAAAAAAATGACATTTTTTAACATTTTAAAATTTCCTGCTGGTTCCGGCGCCCGTACGTCACAGGGACCGGAACACGGAAGCCGGATGCCGACATCGGCCGGAAGAGATGGCCTAGGGCAAAGCAGGGGACACATTGCGGGAGCGAAGGACAAGGTAAGCTCTGTAGGGAATCCCTGAGCAATGCCGCATGGTAAGCCCGAGTGTAGCTCGGGGGGGGTTACCGCTTTTGGTACAGACATTTTACCCCGAGCTACACTCGGGAATACTGCCAGGGAGGTTAAGCGACTCATGCAACATGAAGTGAGCCATTTATCCGCAAGTATACACTCCACTTCCCCGTTTTACCTTACCCAAAGCCCTTCCTCCTCCCCCTCTAAAAAATGTTTGTTTGTTTTTTCTCCCCTTCCCCTTCCTTTCTATCCTATACACTTACTTTTTTCACTATACTACCTTACCTATTCTTCTCTAACTAACCCCCTCTCTATCCAATCTCTAGTCCACACCTGTATCCATCTCTTATATATCTCATGCAGACTCCACCTCCGCAACATCGCCAAAATCCTCACGTTCCTAACCCCAGAAACCACTAAACAGCTCATCCACTCCCTCATCATATCACGACTCGACTACTGCAACTCCCTCCTCACTGGCCTGCCTCGCCGCTGGCTATCCCCGCTTCTGTCTATCCTGAATGCTGCGGCCAGACTCATCCACCTTACCAACCGCTCCGTTTCCGCCACCCCCCTCTGCCAATCCCTCCACTGGCCTCCACTCAGTGTCCTCCACCCCTCTCTGCCAATCCCTCCACTGGCCTCCACTCAGTGTCCTCCACCCCTCTCTGCCAATCCCTCCACTGACCTCCACTCAGTGTCCTCCACCCCCTCTGCCAATCCCTCCACTGACCTCCACTCAGTGTCCTCCACCCCCCTCTGCCAATCCCTCCACTGACCTCCACTCAGTGTCCTCCACCCCCCTCTGCCAATCCCTCCACTGGCCTCCACTCAGTGTCCTCCACCCCCCTCTGCCAATCCCTCCACTGGCCTCCACTCAGTGTCCTCCACCCCCCTCTGCCAATCCCTCCTCTGGCTTCTGATTGCGCAACGGATCAAATTCAAAATCCTAACACTGACGTACAAAGCCATCCACCATACTGCCCCGAACTACATCACTGACCTAATATCCAAGTACCCGCCCAACACGCACACTCCGCTCCTCTCAAGACCTCCTTCTCTCTAGTTCCCTGGTCTCCTCCTCCCATGCCCGCCTCCAGGACTTCTCCAGGGTGTCACCGATCCTCTGGAACTCCCTGCCCCAACCCATCAGATTATCACCTACTCTCCTCTCCTTTAGGCGCACCCTGAAAACCCATCTCTTCAGGGAAGCCTACCCCACCCCCTGCTAACTTGCCGACCTCCTCCACTCTTTCTACCACTCCATCCCCCACAGCTATCTCCTCCTGTACCACCATCCCCTCCCTCCTAGATTGTAAGCTCCAAAGAGCAGGGCCCTCAATCCCCTCATGTTTTGCATTGCATTGGTATTGTTCTGTCACATGTTCTGTCCCCCTTTGTAATGTACAGCGCTGAGCGAACTATTGGCGCTTTATAAATACTGTATAATAATAATATATCACAAACAATACAGAGCATTGACCTTCACACAGGTGTGCTATTATTATACAGTATTTATAAAGCGCCCAGAGGAAACCCACGCAAGCACAGGGAGAGCATGCAAACTCCATGCAGGAGGTGCCATAGTTGGGAATTGAACCCATGACCCATTTACTGCAAGGCAGACATGCTAACCATTATGCCACTGTGCCGCCCTTGATTCATTTGTAGCGCTGCACATTTCATTTATATTGTCTTTTCGAGGTTTTTATGGTTACCTGGTGCACTGCTGCTTTTACTCTCTATGTGCGCTCACATTTACTTGCTATATATAGGTCAGAAGACAATCCATCTCATTGCTTTTTTCATATACTTTGTATATTTGCTTGATCACGTTATTATGTTGTCTTACACTGTTCTGATCTGTATTTCTTTTTACGCTTTGACCCGTCTGCGAAACGGGAGGCGACATGCTGCGTTCTGTTCAGATTTGGATCCATAACTGTATGCGCGCTGTTATACCCCCTTTGTTTCTTCTAATAAAAATATTTTTGGGAAAAAATAAATATTACATTCTTTTGTTCTACCTGACGCATTAGTTTGTTGTACCTATACGGCTCTGCTGGCATTTCCCGTCACCGCGACCTTTTGTTACATTGCGTGCCCAACATAACGCGCCCTTTGTAATTATGGTCAAGTCTCTCTTCCATCCCTCCATTGTTTCCCTCGGCCTCCATTATTGCAGACTCTCCGAGTTCCAGCGAGTTCATATATTCATATTTACATGAAGGCTGAACACGTCCCCAGCTGCAGATTTATGTAAAACATAATCTTTGTGTCTCCACGGCAGTCAAGCTGTCTTTTGCCAATTGTCTGTCTCTGTTGCCGGTTCATACAGAATTGTGTTTATTTGTCTTTTGATGCTCATTCCTTTATGTTGGCCATTGATGGCCTCAGCCTGACTCTAAACCCCTCCGAACAATGTGCGCGGGAAGGGAAGGCGGATTTATCATTCGCTCAATAGATCTGATTACATGGAAACATGGTTCTTACTCTACAAATGTTTGCATTTTAAGAGAATCAGTCTATTTTGTAGAATATTTTTACTTTCATTCATTCTTTCATTCGCTGCATTTTTTTCACTCGGTCTTTCAGGAAAAAAAAAACCCCTACATAAATTTGCCTGAATTATGTCTCCGCACTATGGTTCCAGTTGCTCACTGCCTACCCTGTTCTTTGACTGCAACAAGGTTTCAGCTGTACACTGCCCACCCTGATATTTGCCTTCATTAAGGCTTCAGATGTGTACTACCTACCCTGACCTCTGCCTGCAATATACCTCCAGCTGTGCACTGCCTGCCCTGACCTTTGCCTACATTATAGCTCCAGCTGTGCACAACCTGCCCTGACCTTTGCCTACAATATAGCTCCAGCTGTGCACTGCCTGCCCTGACCTTTGCCTACATTATAGCTCCAGCCGTGCACTGCCTGCCCTGACCTTTGCCTACATTATGGTTCCAGCTGTGCACTGCCTACCCTGACCTTTGCCTACAATATAGCTCCAGCTGTGCACAACCTGCCCTGACCTTTGCCTACAATATAGCTCCAGCTGTGCACTGCCTACCCTGACCTTTGCCTGCAATATAGCTCCAGCTGTGCACAACCTGCCCTGACCTTTGCCTACAATATAGCTCCAGCTGTGCACTGCCTGCCCTGACCTTTGCCTACATTATGGTTCCAGCTGTGCACTGCCCACTCTGACCTTTGCCTACAATATAGCTCCAGCTGTGCACAGCCTGCCCTGACCTTTGCCTACAATATAGCTCCAGCTGTGCACTGCCTGCCCTGACCTTTGCCTACAATATAGCTCCAGCTGTACACTGCCTACCCTGACCTTTGCCTACAATATAGCTCCAGCTGTGTACTGCCTGCCCTGACCTTTGCCTACAATATAGCTCCAGCTGTGCGCTGCCTGCCCTGACCTTTGCCTAACATATAGCTCCAGCTGTGCACTGCCTGCCCTGACCTTTGCCTACATGATGGTTCCAGCTGTGCACTGCCTACCCTGACCTTTGCCTACAAAACGGTTCCAGCTATGCATTTCCCACCCAGATCTTTCCCTGTATTTTGGCTTCAGATATAGATTGCCTACCCTAACCTTTTCCTGTATTACAGCTCTAGATGTGTACTGCCTGCCTGACTTTTGCCTACATTACTGATCCAGCTCTGAATTGTCTGTCTGACCTTTTTTGCATTATGACTTTGTCTCTGTATTGCATGTCCGACCCTTTTCTTGCATTATGGCTCCAGATTTGCCATGTATTACAGTTCCAGCTATGCCCTGCCTGCCTTGACATTTGCCTCCATTATAGTTTCAGCTGTGTACTGCCTGCCCTGATCTTTGTTTGCAGTAAGGTTTCATCTGTGTCCTGTTCACACCGATCTTTGCCTGCTTTATTGCTCTAGTTGTGCACCGCCTGCACTGACCATTGTCTGTATTACAGCTCTAGCTTTGCACTGCCTGCCCTGGTCTATGCAAACATTACAGCTTCAGTTCTGAATAGCCTGTCCTGACCTTTTCTTGCATTATGACTTTTGCTTTGCAGTGCATGTCCTAGCTTTTTCTCTGCACTATGTGTAACGGAACGGACCCAGACTGCACTTGGGTACAGTGGCAGACTGACAACTCATGGGGCCCCCGGGCAATAGGGGATCATGGGGCCCCTGTGTCCTTGCCCACACTCAAAATAACCTATAAAAAAGGTACCAGGGGCATTTCATGGGGCCCCCTACTGACCCCGGGCCGTGCCCGAGTGCTCGAACGGTCAGTCCGCCCCTGCTTGGGTACTTCCGTTATAATACTGCTTCCCCATCCGAACATCAACCACAGACACCACAGCCGACCAAACAAGACTAGACGACACCAGTCTGTCTGAACATGGAAATCTTTATTAGAAATCTGAACTGGCTTTTTATACACTCAGGGGACAGTCCCCCCTCCCTGTATAATGACACAGGGCGGGGCAATCTACACTTTGCAACAAGAGACACACAGGTATTCAAATTTCACACCAGCAGACAGTCCCATCAGGAGGAAGGGCTGCTAGAGACACCCCCCACTAAGCTAATACACATAAACACATGCATCCCATAATAGTTTGCTCCCAAGCAAGACACACAATAGAACAATGGGATGCAACCACATGCAACCACCTATACATGTCTACACAATATTAGGACAGATCACCCTGTACCCCTAACAGGCACAGGGTGACTTACACATAAGAGGGATATGGGGAGCTGAAATAGGGGTCTCCCCACCTCTCCAAAGTGAGCTGGGTTCCATGGGCCCCCCAACCAAAGTGACTCCCCGTCACACTATGGCTTTAGCTTTGCATTGTCTGCCATAATCTTTGCCCACACTATGGTTTTAGCTGTGTCCTGCCTGCCCTGACATTCGTCAGCATTATGGTTAATCTGTACACTGCCTGCCATGACTTTTTCTTGCATTATGGCCCCAGTTGTGCACTGCCTGCCCTGATAGTTGCCTTTGGTATGGCTGTCCTTCATATCAGCTCCAGTTCCTGCCTAAAGCCTGTTGTGAGCTTCAACACACCATGCATCTAGAACAGTGGTCGGCAAGCCGCGGCTCGCGAGCCACATGCGGCTCTTTACAAGCTTAAATGCGGCTCTTCTGTGTGCCGGGCGCCCGCTCCCCTCGCTCCCCTCCCTCCTCTCCCTCCTCTCCCTCCTCTCGGACGGGCGTGTGCCAGGCGGCCGCCCCCTCACCTCCCCTCACCTCCCCTCCCCTCCCTCCTCTCGGACGGCCGCCCGCTCCCCTCCCTCCTCTCGGGCGGCCGCCCCAAAAGTCAGGACTCTGCAGCTGTCAGGATGTAGGCGGGGCAGCCAGGATGTAGGCGGGGCAGCGTGACGAACTCCTCTCCTCTCACAGTCCGCCCTGAAGACCAGAACGGCGCGGGAAGCACGACGAGAGGAACGCGCGGAGCAAAGGTAAGTGAATTGACACAGGGGGGACTTACTATATGGGGGATGAATTACTATATGGGGGACTTACTATATGGGGGGGACTTACTATATGGGGGATGAATTACTATATGGGGGGGGGGACTTACTATATGGGGGGGACTTACTATATGGGGGGGGACTTACTATATGGGGGACTTACTATATGGGGGATGAATTACTATATGGGAGATGAATTACTATATGGGAGATGAATTACTATATGGGGGATGAATTACTATGGGGGATGAATTACTATATGGGGGATGAATTACTATATGGGGGATGAATTTCTATGGGGGATGAATTACTATATGGGGGATGAATTACTATATGGGGGATGAATTACTATGGGGGATGAATTACTGTATGGGGGATGAATTACTATGGGGGATGAATTACTATGGGGGATGAATTACTATGGGGGATGAATTAATATGGGGGATGAATTACTATGGGGGATGAATTACTATATGGGGGATGAATTACTATATGGGGGATGAATTACTATGGGGGATGAATTACTATATGGGGGATGAATTGCTATGGGGGATGAATTGCTATATGGGGGATGAATTGCTATATGGGGGATGAATTACTATGGGGGATGAATTACTATATGGGGGATGAATTACTATATGGGGGATGAATTACTATGGGGGATGAATTACTATGGGGGGGATGAATTACTATGGGGGATGAATTACTATGGGGGGGATGAATTACTATGGGGGATGAATTACTATATGGGGGATGAATTACTATGGGGGATGAATTACTATATGGGGGATGAATTACTATATGGGAGATGTATTTTCAGTTTTAAAAATGTGGCTCTCAAAATAAATTTCAATCGTGGTTTTGGCGAGATTTGGCTCAGTTGAAAAAAAAGGTTGCCCACCACTGATCTAGAACATGCTGTACATGTGGAGTGCCCCTTTAACCTTGGTTTGCCCAGCTTGCATCACCTCTGCTCCTGGCCTGATGACCTGCCTGACCTCTCTAGTCTGCATCTCCTCCTGCAAGTTCTGTTATCAACACCTGCTGGCACTTGTGCTCCTCCTGTCTCTCAGCACCATCTGTTCCACTTCCACTCGGGCCTGAACTGGAGATACAAGAGAGGCCAACCTCATCAGTTCAGTCTCCTACCGGGTACAGGACAGCCTGCCCTAACCATTGTCCGCATTACAGCTCTAGCTGTGCACTGCCTGCCCTGACCTTTGCCTACAATACGGCTTCAATTGGAATTACCTTTCCTGGTCTTTGCCTGCATTATGGTTCCAGCTATCCACTGCCTGTTTTAACCTTAGCCTTCATTACAGCTCTAGCTGTGCACTGCCTGCCCTGACCTTTGCCTACAATACGGCTTCAATTGGAATTACCTTTCCTGGTCTTTGCCTGCATTATGGTTCCAGCTATCCACTGCCTGTTCTAACCTTAGCCTTCATTACAGCTCTAGCTGTGCACTGCCTGCCCTGACCTTTGCCTACAATACGGCTTCAGTTGGAATTACCTTTCCTGGTCTTTGCCTGCATTATGGTTCCAGCTATCCACTGCCTGTTCTAACCTTAGCCTTCATTACAGCTCCAGCTGTGCACCACCTACCATAAACCTTTCCAACAATATGGCAACCAGCTGTTATCTGCCTGCCTTGACCTTAGCCTGTTGAAGTGCTGTCATTCCATGGCACACACGCTTCTTCCCGATACCTCACTTTAGTCACAACTATCTATTAAAAAATCTGTTGCTGCCCCATGCAGAGATTTACCCCAGGCAGTCCCCCAGTCAAGGCTGTATGGTAATTCCTATTTTCCCTTTTAATATTTTACATACAGCACTTACTTACCTATAGCACTTGCCCCCCCGATAGGTTGGGCTTGCTTACATTAACCCCCCACCTTCCAACTTGCTTGTTTGTTTCAAATCTCTTAGGATCCTTTTGGATATTAAACACTAAATTGCCAAAAGTATTGGGCCACCGGCCTTTCCATGCACATGACCTTTAATGGTCCCCCAGTCCGTAGGGTTCAATATTGAGTTGGCCCCGCCCTTTCTACGCACATGAACTTTAATGGCCTCCCAGTCTTAGTCTGTAGGGTTCAATATTGAGTTGGCCCCGCCCTTTGCAGCTATAACAGCTTCAACTCTTCTGGGAAGGCCGTCCACAAAGTTTAGGAGGGTGTCTATGGGAAGGTTGGACCATTCTTCCAGAAGCACATTTGTCAGGTCAGGCACTGATGTCGGGGGAGGAGGCCTGGCTCGCAGTCTCCGCTCTAATTCATCCCAAAGGTGTTCTATGGGGTTGAGGTCAGGACTCTGTGCAGGACAGTCAAGTTCCTCCACCCCAAACTGGCTCCTCCATGTGTTTATGGACCTTGCTTTGTGTACTGGTGCGCAGTCATGTTGGAACAGGAAGGGGACATCCCCAAACTCTTCCCACAAATGTGGGAGCATGAAATTGTCCAAAATGTCTTGGTATACTGACACCTTAAGAGTTCCCTTCACTGGAACTAGGGGGCCAATCCCAACCCTGAAAAACAACCCCACACCATAATCCCCCCTCCACCAAACTTTACACTTGGCAGAATGCAGTCAGGCAAGTATCGTTCTCCTGGCAACTGCCAAACCCAGACATATCCATCAGATTTCCAGACAGAGAAGCGTGATTGGTCCCTCCAGAGAACACGTTCCTCTGCTCTAGAGTCCAGTGGCAGCATGCTTTACACCACGGCATCTGACACTTTGCATTGCACTTGGTGATGGAAGGCTTGGATGCAGCTGCTCAGCCATGGAAACCCATTCCATGAAGCTTTCTACGCACTGTTGTTGGGCTCATCTGAAGGCCACACCAAGTTTGGAGGTCTTTAGCTATTGACTCTGCAGACAGTTGGTGACTTCTGCGCACTGTGCGCTTCAGCATGCGCTGACCCCGCCCTGTCATGTGACGTGGCCTACCACTTGGTGGCTGTTGTTCCCAGTTGCTTCCACTTTGTTATAATCCCACTAACAGTTGAGCGTGGAATATTTAGTAGCCAGGAAATGTCACGGATGGACTTATTGCCCAGGTGGCCACCTATCACGGGACCACGCTTGGAGTCACTGAGCTCCTGAGAGCGACCCATTCTTTCACCAATGTTTGTAGAAGCAGTCTGCATGCCTAGGGGCTTGATTGTATACACCTGTGTCCATGGAGGGGGAGGGGAACACCTGAATCACATGATTGGGAGGGGAATGGAGCACCTGAATCACCATGATTGGAAGGGGATTGGAACACCTGAATCACAAGATTGGGAGGGGATTGGAACACCTGAATCACATGATTGGGAGGGGATTGGAGCACCTGAATCACATGATTGGGAGGGGATTGGAACACCTGAATCACATGATTGGAAGGGGATTGGAACACCTGAATCACATGATTAGGAGGGGATTGGAGTACCTGAATCACATGATTGGGAGGGGATTGGAACACCTGAATCACATGATTGGGAGGGGATTGGAGCACCTGAATCACAAGACTGGGAGGGGATTGGAACACCTGAATCACATGATTGGGAGGGGATTGGAACACCTGAATCACAAGATTGGGAGAGGATTGGACCACCTGAATCACATGATTGGGAGGGGGTTGGAACACCGGAATCACATGATTGGGAGGCGAATGGAACACCAGAATCACATGATTGGGAGGGGATTGGAACACCTGTATCACATGATTTGGAGGGGATTGGAACACCTGAATCACAAGATTGGGAGAGGATTGGACCACCTGAATCACATGATTGGGAGGGGGTTGGAACACCGGAATCACATGATTGGGAGGCGAATGGAACACCAGAATCACATGATTGGGAGGGGATTGGAACACCTGTATCACATGATTGGGAGGGATTGGAACACCTGAATCACAAGATTGGGAGAGGATTGGACCACCTGAATCACATGATTGGGAGGGGGTTGGAACACCGGAATCACATGATTGGGAGGCGAATGGAACACCAGAATCACATGATTGGGAGGGCGGGCCCAATACTTTTGGCAA